TCAAACTACTTTCATTAGATAATGGTGAACTTGCTGAACTTCCTTGGGATGTGCTTGATATCATTTGCGAAAAACTAGATTTTGACGACCTCTTTTCGTTTCCTGGTGTTTGCAAGAACTGGTGGACTTTCCATAAATCAAATTTCTTGTCATCCCAAGAACCATTGCTTGTTCGTTTCACTGGTTATCATACCCACTCATATTCCTTTATTAGCATACACAATAAAAAAGTTTATGATTTGAACATGATGAATTGCTTCCAGCAACCCAAATGTGTCTATGTTGGAGTTTCCAGCGGATTTTTCATCTTCGCCCGTGAAAATAATTCATTTGTGCTATTCAATCCATTTACAAGAAAAGAATTGGTAATCCATGCTACTTTTACGGTTAATCATATCACAATTTATCAGTACCAAGCCTTGCTTGCTTTTGAGAAATGCTCCCAGGAATATGTCTTGCTTCTTTTATGCAAAGAGTCTAGCCGTTTGTATGCCTATCAATCTCGATACTCTCGTTGGTGTATTTATTCAACATTAAAACCGGAGGAGGTGGTAGTTGACTTTGTGGTTTTCAACAATATAATATATGTTGTCACTAACAACGCCAACATAGGGGTACTAAACTTGAATTCTCGAAATATTAAATTTCTAAACCTCAAGAATACTCCCGACAAACTTCCCTCAAAAACATCCTTTAATTTGGCTAATTGTGATGACCAACTTCTACTGATTCATTTACAATTGTACTCAAGAAGGCAAGTTTACAAGATAGACCTGTCAACCATGAATTATGTTAAGATGAAAAGTTTGGGTGACATTGCATTGTTTTATGTTTCTCGTAAAAACTGTCGGGCATTGAGCAATCCTCAGAGATTTGGGTATCGGAGCAATTACGTGTATGAAGTAAATTCTTTTTCCAAATGTGGTATGTATGATTGGAACGATCATAGATTAAGTTATTATAAGCGTTCTGCTGGAGACTTCAATTTTGATTGGTGTTTTAGACATTTTGTATGTCAAGGTTCTGTTAGAAGCGACTTCAATTTATTTGATTGGTGTTTTACACATTTAAAATATCAAGTTGATTATTCTTTAGTTGAATAATTGTTACTTGGTATGCTTTTCCTTGGTTTCTTTTTGGCTTGGCTTGAGTTGAAAAAACTTGTAATGTTTTGGTGCTTTTTAGTTGCTATGATTCAGCTTCATCTATAACTTGTCCTTCTTCAGGAGATAAACATCTCAATCTACCATGCAATTCTTCCATTGCATCATCTATTTGCACTGCTATTTGAAATATGAATGTGATGTGAAACTCACGTACAACAATATCAATCTTTCAATGATTATGTTGTAAACAATTATAATAATTTGTGATATGAAATAGTATACAACAACCATACACTTTACCTTCATCCTTCATGTCTTTAATATTTTATTTTATTTTTGTTTCAATATTGTATACAAATTCGCATACTACATAATAAACTAGTACAAGAAATATGCTAACAATATAGATTATATTTCTATTTATACATCTATGACAATATAGATTATATTCTATTTATGCATCTACGATAACAATTAGACATAGAAATCTAGGATGAGTGAGAAGGTTTTTAAAATCCATTTCTGCTTTGTGGAAGGGAATCTCTCGTCTTTCTACAGACTTTGGTGCGAGTTTTGATTATCAAAAACAGTCTTAAATCACTCACCTTCAAAGTACACTAGTTAGTCGAAAACATGTAAAGTTTGTGTAACAGCCCATAAAATGGAGTGATTCAATATCACAAATATCACCAAACACATATTTACAAAAAAAAAATACAAAGACTTACTAAAGTACAAACTGACAACTAAATATTTAAAAAGCAATAAATTTTCAAATGAGGAGTATCATCTCCTTAAAAATAGCACATAAGGTCTAATAGAGTTTTGTTGAAACAAAGCTAATTTTTTTTTTGACAAGCTAAATCTTAAAGGAAAAAACTTACGTGCATTTCAGTAGGTGTGATTTATGTTTTTTTCCAATGAAAATATGACAAGTGTATAATTTCCTATTACATATATGCAATTTCTTTCTATTTTTACTCTTTAAAAGATATTTAAGTATATTTATCATATTTTTATTAAAGAAAAGTATGAATTGTATCTAAGTATTCTCCAATCTTAAAAATCTTAATATTGATATTCTCCATTAATATTAAATCTTAATCTTCTCTAAATCAAATATAATGAAATCTTTTCCAAATAAATTAAACCAATAAAATATTTACCAAAACAATTTACAATTCTTAAAAGGTTGTGATTAAAAATTATATAATATGTATTTCTTAATAAAATAAATAAATCAATTTTTATAACAATTAAAAAAACCCATTTTGATAGCAAGGATTCTTTCTCTATTTTCATCAGTGAACCAATAAAATCATAAAACAACCAAAAATCCATTGTATCTCTTTATCGAGGTTTCATCCTTACACTCCCAATTTTGACTTGACATTCTCATATTTTTAAAATGAAAAATTTAATCTTATGAATTTTTACATTGTGTAAAATAAAAAACTCTGGTACAAACATTTTGCAAGAGTTTTTATTATTTTTATGGAAAACTTAAAATATCGATATGAAGTTTTACCGGATATTTGGAAAAACCCATAAACCTCTTGAAGTTTTACCGTAATTTTTGTAAGAATTCGGAAATATTTTGCAATTTTACCGGACATTTCGCAAAACTCCGAAAATATTTTTCTATTTTACCGAACATTTAGCAAAAATCCTGAAACCTTTTGCAATTTTACAAGACATTTAGCAAAAATCCTGAAACCTTTTGCAATTTTATCGGACATTTAGCAAAAATCCTGAAACCTTTACCATTTATTACTAAGAATTTCAAAAAATTTGGGAAAGGAAATATCCAATATACTTGATTTTTGTAAATATCTGTATATCATTTTTTTGGAAATATTTGATAGTTTGATATGCTCCAGTTGTGCGGTCATGATCCTGATGGTTCTCCAATAGATTTTACTCAATTTCTCACACCAACGTGATATGTTTTACATAAATATTTACTTTTTAAGTAGTTGAAATAGATTCATGATATCTAACATTGATTATTTTTTGTATATGTTGTTAATGTCAGATATTTCCCTCTTGGACTGACGTTTTGGCATGGACGTAGTCTGTTGGTAAACAACATGATATTATTGTTGTTATTGTTTGTTCAGATACCATAAATGGGATGAGAGGGAGGAAATATAGATTGATTATGGGTTGTGAAATTGGAGGAAATTATAAGAAGGAGGATGTGATTGTAGCAACTTATACTATGAAAGTGAAATATCCAATTATGCTAAGATCTGTGCCAAGTGGAAGCGGTTGGAAAGTTACAGTTAAGTGTGAGTTTCATAATCATGTACTAGTTAAGAACATAGAAGAGGATGGTGCATTAGGTCGTTTAAAAGATTCTGAAAGAAAATTTGTGAATGACATGACCAAATACAATATGGCTCCATGATAAATTGGCGCTGCTTTGAAAGATAGAGATCTAGAAACCCTAATAAGTGTTACTCAAATCTACAAGGCAAAGTATACATACAAGTCGAGCAAGAGAGATTCGTTCCTTGAAATGCAACATCTTATGAATCTTATTCATGAAGATAAATACATGTAGTGGACAAGAAACATGGGTTCTTCCAATATTATTGTTGATATCTTTTGGACGCACCCCGATTCGGTGAAGTTGTTGAACATGTTTCATCTTGTGTTGATTTTTTTATTGCACATACAAAACAAATAGGCACTTCTTATTCCAATTGATTTTATTTTGATCTATTTGATTTCAGAGATATTGGAAGTTGTTGTTGATTTAATATACATATATGGAATATGAAATGGAGGAAAATTTCATGTGGACACTAGAGAAGCAAAACGAGTTGTTCACATTCGAGAAGTTGTTGCCGCGTGTTTTGGTTATTGACTATAAGCTGGTGTTGATGAATGATGTTGAAATAGTGTTTCCAAAGTTAATTTAGTTGTTGTGTTTGTTCCATATTTTCAAAATTGTGAGTATGAAGTGTAAGGAGTATGTCAAATCACATAGGCTTGAACATGTTATGGATATGTGGAACAACATGGGTTAAATATTCAAATCCCTCGTAATGTTAGCGAGTTTTAGTTTTATCCACGTAAATTTTTTTGATCCCCCCTATCTTATTTATATTCCCTCAAATAACCCCCCAAATACCAAGTGGCATGGAGGATTCTTTCATTTTTTCATATGTGACTTTTTTGTTTATTTTTTTTTCAAATTTTATTCCACATGTGTAGTACAGTATGGATTAATCATATAAATGGTTTTCTTTCTCTCTTCACTTACGATTTGGTCGTCTCTAGGGTTTCTTTCCCCTTTCTTTCTTCATCTACGCCGGTCATTGTCGTTCTTCAAGCTTCATCTACGTTCGAGCATCTTTGTCAGTCATCGTCTGTAATGCTCGTTAATTTAATTAATTATTTAATTAAATTATTATTTTTTGATTATTTGTTGAAGTTGTGAGATGTTGGGAATTATTTGTATAAGAATTGGTAATCCATGCTACTTTTACGGTTAATCATATCACAATTTATCAGTACCAAGCCTTGCTTGCTTTTGAGAAATGCTCCCAGGAATATGTCTTGCTTCTTTTATGCAAAGAGTCTAGCCGTTTGTATGCCTATCAATCTCGATACTCTCGTTGGTGTATTTATTCAACATTAAAACCGGAGGAGGTGGTAGTTGACTTTGTGGTTTTCAACAATATAATATATGTTGTCACTAACAACGCCAACATAGGGGTACTAAACTTGAATTCTCGAAATATTAAATTTCTAAACCTCAAGAATACTCCCGACAAACTTCCCTCAAAAACATCCTTTAATTTGGCTAATTGTGATGACCAACTTCTACTGATTCATTTACAATTGTACTCAAGAAGGCAAGTTTACAAGATAGACCTGTCAACTATGAATTATGTTAAGATGAAAAGTTTGGGTGACATTGCATTGTTTTATGTTTCTCGTAAAAACTGTCGGGCATTGAGCAATCCTCAGAGATTTGGGTATCGGAGCAATTACGTGTATGAAGTAAATTCTTTTTCCAAATGTGGTATGTATGATTGGAACGATCATAGATTAAGTTATTATAAGCGTTCTGCTGGAGACTTCAATTTTGATTGGTGTTTTAGACATTTTGTATGTCAAGGTTCTGTTAGAAGCGACTTCAATTTATTTGATTGGTGTTTTACACATTTAAAATATCAAGTTGATTATTCTTTAGTTGAATAATTGTTACTTGGTATGCTTTTCCTTGGTTTCTTTTTGGCTTGGCTTGAGTTGAAAAAACTTGTAATGTTTTAGTGTTTTTTAGTTGCTATGATTCAGCTTCATCTATAACTTGTCCTTCTTCAGGAGATAAACATCTCAATCCACCATGCAATTCTTCCCTTGCATCATCTATTTGCACTGCTATTTGAAATATGAATGTGATGTGAAACTCACGTACAACAATATCAATCTTTCAATGATTATGTTGTAAACAATTATAATAATTTGTGATATGAAATAGTATACAACAATCATACACTTTACCTTCATCCTTCATGTCTTTAATATTTTATTTTATTTTTGGTTCAATATTGTATACAAATTCGCATGCTACATAATAAACTAGTACAACAAATATGCTAATAATATAGATTATATTTCTATTTATACATCTATGACAATATAGACCAAGATGCTACTAATTGATAATAATCATGATGGAAACAAGCTCATTTTTAGGTATTTTTAGGAGTACCACCTGGTATGATTCAGAAGAAATCTGGGATGAGTGAGAAGGTTTTTAAAATCCATTTCTACTTTGTGGAAGGGAATCTCTCGTCTTTCTACATACTTCGGTGCGAGTTTTGATTAGTTTATTGAGAGTTTATCAAAAAAAGTGTGAAGATATTGAGAATTCCAAACCCATACTTTATTTACAAAATGCCTTAAATCACTCACCTTCAAAGTACACTAGTTAGTCGAAAACATGTAAAGTTTGTGTAATAGCGCATAAAATGGAGTGATTCAATATCACAAATATAGACCAAACACGTATTTACAAAAAAATACAAAGACTCACTAAATTACAAACTGACAACTAATATTTAAAAAGCAATAAATTTTCAAATAAGGAGAATCATCTCCTTAAAAATAGCACATAAGATCTATTAGAGTTTTGTTGAAACAATCTAAATTTTTTTTTTCTTACAAGCTAAAGGGAAAAAATTTAGGAGCATTTCATTATACATGATTTATGTTTTTTTCAATAAAAATATGATAAGTGTATAATTTCATCTTACACATATGCAAATTCTTCCTATTTTTACTCTTTAAAAGATATTTTAGTATATTTTTATTGGAGAAAAGTATAAATTATATCTAAGTATTCACCGATTTTAAAAACCTTAATTTTGATCTTCTCCATTAATATTAAATCTTAATCTTCTCTAAATTAAATATAATGAAATCTTTTCCAAATAAATTAAACTAATAAAATATTTACCAAAACAATTCAGGTTCTGATTAAAAGTTATATAATCTGTATTTTTTAATAAAATAAATAAATCAATTTTTATAACAATTAAAAAAAACCCATTTTGATAGCAAGGATTCATTCTCTATCTTCATCGGTGAACCAATAAAATCATAAAACAATTCATTGTACCTCTCTTTATCGAGATTTCATCCTTACACTCCCAATTTTTTACATGACATTCCCACATTTTTAAAATAAAAAATTTAATCTTATGAATTTTCACATTGTGTAAAATAAAAAATCTGGTACAAATTTTTTGCAAGACTTTTTATGCATTTTTATCAACCCGATATGAAGTTTTACAGGATATTTGGAAAAACCCATAAACCTCTTGAAGTTATATCGTAACTTTTGTAAGACTTTGGAAATATTTTGCAATTTTACTGGATATTTCGCAAAACTCTGAAAACATTTTTCTATTTTACCGAACATTTAGAAAAAATCGTGAAACATTTTGTAATTTTATCGAACATTTAGCAAAAATCTTGAAACCTTTACCATTTATTACCAAGGATTTCAAAAAAAATTGGGAAAAGTTGTTGTATACCGGATTTTAGGAAATATTCAGTATACTAATTTTTGGAAATATTCGTATACCGAGTTTTTGGAAATATTTGATAGTTTTGTATGCTCCAGTTGTGCGGTCATGATCCTAATAGTTCTCTTGTAGATTTTATTCAGTTTTTCACACTAACGCGATATATTTTACATAAATGTTTACTTTTTAAGTAGTTGAAATAGTTTCATGATATCTCTGACATTGATATTTTTTTGTATATGTTGTTAATGTCATATATTTCCCTCCTGGATTGACATTTTGGCATGGACGCAGTCTGTTTGTAAACAACATAGTATTATTGTTGTTACAGTTCGTTATGATACCACAAATGGGATGAGAGGGAGGAAATATAGATTGATTATGGGTTGTGAAATTGGAGGAAATTATAAGAAGAAGGATGAGATTGTACCAAGTTATACTACAAAAGTGAAATATCCATTTATGCTAAGATTTGTGTCAAGTGGAAGCCGTTGGAAGGTTACAGTTAAATGTGAGTTTCATAATCATGTACTAGTTAAGAACATAGAAGAGGATGGCGCATTGGGTCGTTCAAAAGATCCTGAAAGAAAATTTGTGAATGACATAACCAAATACAATATGGCTCCATGATAAATTGGCGCTGCTTTGAAAAATAGAGATCTAGAAAACCTAACAAGTGTTACACATATCTACAAGGTGAGGTATACATACAAGTCATGAAAGAGAGGTTCATTCACTGAAATGCAACATCTGATGAGTCTTATTCATGAAGATAAATACATGTAGTGGACAAGAAACATGGGTTCTTCCAATATTATTGTTGATATCTTTTGGACGCACCCTTATTCAGTGAAGTTATTAAACATGTTTCATCTTGTGTTGATTTTTTGTTTATTTTTTCAAATTTTATTCCACATGTGTAGTACAACATGGCATAATCACTTAAATGTGTTTATTTCTCTTTTCACTTACGATTTGTTTATCTATAGGGTTTCTTCCCTCTTTCTTTCTTCATTCTGCGTCAGTCGTCGTCCTTCTTCAAGCTTCATATACGTTCGAGCATTTTTGTCGGCCATTGTATGTCTTCAAGCATGGGTAGCAAGTCGCCATCATCAGTTGGTAATTTCGGTAGGGGATTTCCAACATGTGGTGCAACGAAACGATGAAGATGTGGGTATCAAACACAATTGATAACCCAAATCAGAAATTCTGGAAATGTAGAAATTCAATGCTAAGTGTTTGTTGAAGATTATAATTGTACAATTTTTCTAGAATTTGTTAAATATGTTAATCTTAATTGTATTTATAGAATGGCTGTGAACTGTTTATGTGGGACGATTTGGCTAATGAGCTCCAAGGGAACGACATGAATCCTTCTAGATTTTGTCAATGTGAAATCACCAAAGTTTATTTCTTAGAATTTACGAAGGAAATTTTCAAGGAGATTGACTACGCAGTTGGGAAGAAATTGGGAGTAGAAGGAATCTCAAAGAAGTCAGAAAAAATGATGAAGAAGCTTGTAATGGAGAAGAGAAAAAAATTTAGTCTGATTGTTGCACTTTGTTTGTCATTGATGGTTTTTGCAATAGTGTCTAAGTTAATGGAATTGTTTGTCATGGGTGGTTTTTGTAATTGTCATGTAATCTGTTTCAATAGTTGTAGGAAATGTAATGGTATTGTTAATGTAAGGTGTATTATATTATAATTGAATTGGTTTATCAATAAAAGCAATGTTATGTTTTACATTTCAATTAACCTATTGAACAAATGGTGTATAATATATCATAACTTGGTGCATATTAGATTAATAAAATATAAAAGGTTTGTTACAAGAAACAGTTAATACAACATTATAAGTTGACAGCCAATGCAGATCAGGTCTGTTACAACAAACACACATTATCCCAAAATGACACAAACACAAAATGACACAAACTATAAATGAGAAAAAATCCACATGTCTTAATATAGCATTACACAAAATATAAATATAGAATTACAAATTCTTAATCTCTCATTTTCTTGGTCTTCCATGACTTCATAAACCTATTAGCCACTCCAAGCTTAGAGTCTTTGACACATGCTTTGTCTTCAGCTTCTGTTATGGTAATTGGTTGTTCACTAGTAGATCCTTGGCTTGTAATTAGTTTTTAAACCAAGTCAACTTAATCCTCTCACTCTGGCATCTCTTAATTATTGGTTCGTTGTTGTAATACGGTGGGAGAACTTGTTAGAACATAGTTTGATTCTACAACCCTTAGTTAGAGTTTTGATGATAACAAATACAAAGAATAAATAATAAATACAAAGAACAAATATGCACCCTAAAAATTATGTTTCTATGTATGCAGAAGTTCTGATTATATCAGCATTAGAAGATAAGCCTTAAGGGCTATACGCTGAAGCAATCAGAACATGCGCTGAAGATTGATGACCAGAACCTGTGCTTAATCAAAGTAAACTCTGATTCTGAACACGAACATATCAATCCAAGTAATCAATGTTCTGAAGCGTCATCAGCAGGCAAGGAGATAAGATTCTGAAGCGTTACTGATCATTCATAACAGCATCAATCCCAACGGCTTCTTTCAGACAGGATCTTCTCCAAATGGAAAGTGTGTTAATGACATTAAACATGCTTTATGATCAACGTTATTCCACTGCCTATATAAAAAAAGACAACATTCAAAATCGAGGACGATTTTCCACATTAGCACTCATGCAAATTCAAAGCTGCAAGCAATATTATTTATATTTCCAAGCTATAATCCTGCGTAAATTATCACAGTTGTGATAAATAGTTTTTGTAAGAAAAACAACAACACATATCTTGTATAATTGTCTTGAAATAGTGTTCCTTGAGAATAACCGGATTGGGGTTGTACTCAAGAAGACTTTAATAGTTGTTAAAGTAGTGATTGTAATCTTGTTGAGATTAGTGAATTAAGACCTCGTTGGAGAGAGGCGAAATCACCTTGACGGGTGGACTGGAGTAGTTTGAGATCAAACGAACCAGGATAAAAATACCGTGTCATTGTGCTTTTGATTTCAAGTTTTCAATTCAACCCCCCCCCCCCCCCTCTTCTTGTGTTTTTAACATCTTCAATTGGCATCAGAGCGCCTGGTTCTAAGCTTAAACACTTAACCGTGTCAGTACAAGACCCAAGC